AAGTCACAACCAAAATGAAATAAAGCTAACTGCAACATTAGCACTATTTAAAATGCCTTATTGCATTCAGCAGTGTTCTGAATAGTAAATTACACCTAACTGTTCTATCACAGCCAGCTCAGACAAACGATCTGGCAGCACATGATGGTGTTAAGTGCAATCAGGCACTTAGCAACACTGACATCAGATGCTGACATCTTTTGTTTTGAAACAGGATTTGATCCAGAGAACTAGCTGTACTTGCAAATTTAGTGCAGTAAAGCAAAAAATTATGGGTCTTAGCTTACACCTGGAAATTGGATGTCCTCCAAGAAAAACTCAAAACTAAACACCTCATACATTTTGCAGAACAGTTTTGAAGCCACTGAAAAAGGATTTATCTTGCCCATTTTGACTTCTAGTTAGTGGAAAATGTTTAATGTTCCAGTGTGGACTTTTCTTTCATTTGGTTGGTTGGCTGGGTTGCTGGATTTCTTTTTTTTTAATAAATTCAACTGTTAGCAATCCACAAGCAAGACACCCTATTTGTCCACTAAGCCACAAATCAGGAGAATGGTAGAAATCAGTGCCAGATTCACAAAGATAATTTTTCATGTAGAAGAATAAGGAAAAAGAGACAACATCCGCTTGAAGAATACAAAACAAGAGTTGTAGTTAGTCAAGGAAATACTAAAAATGAAACCAAATTAACTTTGAAATTCTGATGACTCATAAATCTGTCATATGCTTATTTTCCTTGTTTACATTCCACTCCCATTTTTATTTTGTCATGGTTCCATTTGACAATGCACTGTGTTCACATTTCTCCTTATGCAAATCCTTCCTCTTCTTTGTATGCTGCACTGAAAAAAACTTCTGTCTGAAAAAATGTACATTATTTTTTAAATTACAATTACTTATTATAATTAAAAACTTAGTTCATATTATGAAAGAAATACAAGCATTGTTCAAACTTTAAGAGCCTCACTCTGCCATGCCTAGGTTAATCTTCTCACAATAACTTATTAATAAAAAACAGGTAGTTAACAAAAGTAACTTTAAATAGGTAGCTTATTTTAAAAGATTTGTGGAAGCAGAACATGCCATGGTGTGAAGCTCCAGCCTCACAACTTCATGGTAACCAAGACTGTAAATTAAATATGGCACTGAGCTCTGAAATCTCAACAAATTAACATGATAATAGAAACTTATCTTACACATCTTTAAACTCAGTGATGACTTATTTGTTTTTTGCTTCCTTGGTAGCAATTGAGTAATATAATGAAGTTTCTAGGATAGATTTTTTTTCTTTTTTCCTTAATTTTTCACAAACAAATTTCTTATACTTGCCTTTAGCATTATCAGCTAGAAAAGAGGATAAACTGTCACCAGTCTGCCTCAATTAATTTTCTGTACTTTTTCTTTCTTGAAATATTTCTTACAGACAGTGCAACGCTGCTTCATATATACGTAGCTATCTATTGCTATCAGAAAGGTGTAGGTATATCCACAGTTTAAGACTTCAGTTATTATAACAGAAATATGGGCCACTTTCAGTCAAGTCATGTCTGTTGCTCAAATGGAAGAGAACTGGCACACTGACAGCATTAGAAAATATTTTGTCCTGTCAAGATGAAACCTCGTAGTTATGAGAGAAGAGTCCTGGTACAAATCCTTTTCCTCTGTTGCAGGCTGTAAAACTAGGAAGGCCATTTTGGTGACTCCTGCCCTAAGATGTACTGGCTCTTCACACAGACTTGCAAAGTAAAAGCAAAAGACATTAAGGCCCTATTTAAAGCCATTTCAAGTTGTCTTATGACCTTTAACAAATGGTGGGGTTATTTTATATCACAAATACGTTAGATCTGTAATATAACAACTATTTTAGCTTTACTATTATCAAATTCATTAATACATCAAATAACATTTGATGCGTGTGGCACATATAACTAACATTTGAAGTTAGTAGTTTTTCCTTTTTTTGTTTTGGGATAACACTTGATGGAGGAAGAATAAAGCAATACTAGTAATCCAGTCATTACTGAAGGAATTTATATTGTTCCATGACTAAGCTTCACTTAATTCAGTGAGTGAGCTGAATTGCTCACTGAATTCTATAGGCAGATCAAGGCTGAATTTTGCTATTTTTTTATTGAACTTTTTAATGAACTTTGCTATTATTGTATTCCTTTAACTACCAAGATTATAAGTACTCAAAATTATGAATCAGATATAAGCTACGTTAAAATTGCATAGCAGACTCAAAAAATAATGAATCTGCTTCTTTGTTACCAAAAGCTATTTGTTTACTTAAGCTGTTGTAAAGAGTGGACATCTAAAGATTAGTTTCTTTAAAGTGGAACTAATATTTTAAATTTGGGCATACAGAACTCAGAGCTTAATTACAAGTACCTAATTACTTGGAGAGAATCACTGAGTATTAATTTACAGACACTATACAAATATTTTAGTATATTTCCATGGCTATTAGATTCACTCTGCTGTTATCTTACAATGCGTGCTGGATTTTTTATATTTTTTTCTTAGGTAATCAGAATGTTGTTGGTAATATCTGACATAGATACAGAAAATCATGTAAATAGCTGAATTTTGTAGTGTACATAAGTGCTCAGGCTAAGTCTACCATTTTTTTCATAAGGGTGAACAAGGGATCTGAAGAGTTAAATCACGCATTGCCACTTTATTGTCAAATGATACATTGTTACTTTATTTTTGGATTTAGGATGTTAACCTGCCAGGTAATACTAATCTACGACTCTGTATTTGAGAAAGATCCTAGGCTCAGCTCAACAGACTTCAGAAATCAAACCAAAGCACCAGAAATTGCCTGCCAGGAAAGTATTTATGACCTAAAAAAGGAGGTCATGAAAGTACACTCCAAGATTATTAGATGAGAATACTCCAAGAGAATTGATGAGAATAGAGAATTCACCTTAATTCACCTAGTTAATAGGGAGAAATGCATTGCTCCAAACTAATACTCAGAAGATGCAAAATTAGATTACTTCCATGAATCATCTTCATGATAAACCTCTTGCTTTACTATTGGGATTATTTTGATTGATGCCTAAATTCTTAAGAACACAATGGTAGGTTTTTTGTCAATATTCCAACAGTTGCCTTAAGCTCCTGCTAAAATCAAGTAACAACACTTCTAGGAATGGGGTATCCACCACCTCAGCTGTCCCAGTGCTTCACCACCCTCTGAGTAAAGAATTCTTCCAAACATCTTCCTTCTTTCAGTTTGCACTATTGTCCCTTATCCTGTCACATCTGCCCATATATAGAGTCCCTCTCCCTCAATTTTTTTTCTAAGTTCCCTTCAGATCCTGGAAAGTTGCAGCCCCCCAGGTCTCCCTGAGGTCTTTTCTTCTCCATGTTGACCAGCCCGAGCTCTCTCATCCCATCAGTTTCTGCAGCCAACAAGTGCCAGTGTTTGGCACTCTCACTGTAGCAAAATAGAAGTTTTCGCATACTGGAGTTGAATTTCCTATATTTAAGTATGTGGCCTTTGCCTCTTATCCTGTCACTAGGTACCGATCAGTGACAAGAGTCTGCCTCCAACATCTTCATTCCATTTCCTGAGGTATTTATAAACAGGGCTGAGACTTTTTCCAATTTACTTGAAGGGAGGTAGCCACTGACGACTGGTTAGGAGAAATGTTTGACTCCTCAATCAGGGGACATGATTGTAGCAATAAGTGTGCAACTTTCCATGTGAGAAATGCACTAACAAAAGCAAATAGGGATAGAAGCTCTTATAACACTTAAAAGTGGTCTTATCACACCATTCTTTAAAGAGTTTCATGCTCAAAGCTATCTGTCCTTTTACAATGGTAGTGGAGAAAATGTTTCATCTCACTTTCAAACTCAGGTCTCAAATATTTCAGGGGGAAAAAAGAAAAGAAAAAAAAAACCTAAACCAAATTAACACAAAAAGACCCATTACAGATCAAAGATCTAAATCAATTATATATGGTACTAATTAAAAACAAGTAAAAGTAAAACCATGTATTGCGGACATTATTAGCTCACATTTACTTTTTTCCCTTCCTTCTTTTTATCTGAATTGCACATTTGCAAAGCTTAAACTGGACATTTCTATGAAGGTTTCACTTAGAAAGCAAAGCCATATTTTAATTCCAAGTTTTCTTTTAATAAAAGAAGTATGAGAAAAAGCATCAACATCACAAAATTCCACCACATACCCCAAAAAAACAACAGAAACAGACAGGACAGAACCTTAATAAAAAAGAACCTATAAGAAGTATATCTATCATAACATGGGATTCTCACAAGTGCAAGAATGAATTTTGATATTCTCTGTTTATGGGGATTTTTCTGAACTTCATCTTTGGTTGCTTTCATAATGTCTAGAAAAGAAATTTGTGAGCTTTTTTTATTTCCTGCATTTTCATAGGTGTCTTAATTAAGTTGTTAGTTGTTCATTCTGGCCTGGGTCACTCACTGAAAGATATTTAATCCATGATATATAATTATAGACATAGATATTTTGTCTCTGATTTAAACTGCTGAATTCCTTCAGACTGTTGCAGGCTGTTACATGTAAAATGTGTTTTGGCTTGTTTTTTTCCAAGAAGTAATCAAATGTTTATTGTGAATGTTTTTAAGCTGAGGGCTTTTGATCTCCTAAAGGTCTTTGATGATTATGAAAGAATTTGTCACCATGGAGTTAGCGGTAACTCTCCAAATGTGTATCTGCAATTTCAGATAAAGTTATTAGACTGTCTTTGTTACACTCCTGTTCTTATGCCATGCTGCCATGGTTTCAATTTTATTTAATTTGTTTTGGTCAGTGTCCTAATAATAGCTGCTGGTAGTTTTAAATATCAAAAGCTGAGGTAACATACAACTCAAATGACTAATTACAAAAGGACTTGCTTGTAACTGGAATAAATTCAGTTTAGAGAGACTCTTTTTCACAGAATAACTTATACTGATGCTTATTCAAGAGGGCACTTCGCTGCCAGCAGCACCAACTACATGAACTCTGCCTGCCTGCACTGTGGCGCTGTTGGTTCCATTTTATAGGCATTGCAAGATGCCTTGATGAAGAAGTCATGCTGTCCTGGCTTTTCAAGTGAAACATTTGAATTGCTAAGCTGACCACCAACAGCTGTACTTTCTGCATGGATGGCTAGCACAGGAGGAGATAAAACTGCTGGCAAATCCAGTCCACTCTTGGAAAGCACAAGGTATCATGGGGCATGTTTAATGTGAACCTTGCTACTTTTTTGTTTACATTAACATAATCCACCTAAGCACGTTGTTACTAAAGTTTGAATGACTGAAATTAATTATGCTGGCTCAAAAGGTTTCTGCTCCTACCATCTGTAACTTAATTGAGTGTACTATTATTTTAACTTTAATTAGTGAGCCAGCACCTTGAGATTTCTGTCACGAGCCAATAGCAGTAAACTGGACTGCCCACGGTGTCAATGTTATATGGCATTCATTAATCACATGCTTATACAGCATTTACAAAATTATTGATATGTTAAAAAGTTTAACAGGTAAACATTATGACAAGGAAATCCTAGAGCTTTGCTTTGTGGATTGTTAATTTTGTTTTGGTTTTGTTGTTTTGTTTCATTTTGGTTGTTTGTTTGTTTTTTGTGGGGGAGGGTTTGGATGAGCTGGCATTTGGTTTTGGTTTTTTTTCCCCTACCATTTGCCTGTTTCTCATTCCTCTCCTTACCTTTGAATAAATTGACATTAAAAATAATATTTAACATCTGGCATAAAGATGAATTTTTTTAAGGAAAGCATGCATTCCCTAAATCAAAGGTTAAAGTCTTGTGAGAGTCCTCCTGAAACATCAAGTTCTCTCCTGTAATTGCACAAAAATAATATTTTTTTATCTAATTTCTGAGATTTAAAGGATGACTTGAAAGAAATTTTCACTTCCCTGCAGCCACCTTTCTTCCTCAGAAGCCTGGGTCAGATTTTATTCTGACATCATTTCTGGTCAGAACTTTAACTAAAAACTCACTGGTTTTATTCATTTATGCTATGTAGCTACCATATATTTTACAAATAGATATGTCTCTTGCAAACATATTTTTGTTTATAAATAATCATAAAACTTAACACACAAGACAAAGTATGTCACATTGCCCAATATTTTGTTGGTTTTGGTTATTTTCCCCTCTTTCTCCCCTTCTTTTTCAGTTATTCTTGCCTTGGGACAGCAGAGCTTCATCTGTTCACCAGTTACAGGCAGTTACAGGCTCTTCTTATGTGTCCAAATAATAATTTAAAATAGATAGATAGATAGATAGATAGATAGATAGATAGATATAGATAGATATATATATTTGGGTTTTTTTTTCAGTACTTCTAAATCCGACTACTACATTTTTTTAAAGTCCTAAATTTCAATAAATATTAAAACATGGTAAATATTTAAAAGATGGGAAAGCTTTTGTCAGCAGACACTGAGGAGGTATTGGTCACAAAATTCCAAGAGTTTTCAAGTAGGAAGGGTTGTATAACAAGCAATAGCAATCACAAAGCATTGTGTTGAATTCTGGAAGCTCAAAGAAACTAAATTTTCTCATTTCTTATTTCCATTGTGATATCGGTGTATCAGAGTAAACTAACTTAAAAAAACCCCGCAATATTTAAACTCTGTGTTTGAATTCTTCCAATTCTTGATTTCAACTAGTGCATATAGATCTAGATATATGCAGCATCTATGTAAATCATCTTCTACCAACAAATTCTCATAAAAAATGCAAGGAACTGTGCTTAATGAGCACTGTTTTGTTAATAATTAGGGAATGATTCAACAAGCTTTGGATGAGATTTTAAAAATGTAGGAGGGAATTCAACATGTCTTGTTAATTTGAGGTATATTGTATGTACTATTGAACCTATTATTCATCATTATCATACAGATGATATTCTCAGACATGAGTCATTGTAATTAAATGCAGCAACCACAAAAATATGCACATTATATTTTATCTATATATTTACACTTGGCTCATTTGTACAATTTGCCAAAGAATCACTTTGACTACTTTTTAACTTAAGTGGATATGTAGTTAAGCAACATTTTTAATATGGCTTTTGAAGCCATGTTATTATCCCTGTCTTTATCCTTCAGCAAAAGAATCAGATACAAAAGAACAGAATACAATAAAGTTTTTAATGACAGACTTGAGTTACATAGGAGGCAAGATAAATTAAAGGTGTTACAGTATACATCTATTAGGACTATGATAAAAATCAGAGAAATTTCTTACTTGAGAACCTTATATTCTCTCTTTCAGAATGACCATGGTGAGATTATCACTGTTAACCCTTTTATCACTGGAAGTGATAAAGTTTTGCTGGATTGGACAATTCAATGGAAAACTACTGGATAACTGAAAGCGAGTATTCTGCTTCATGACAAGACATTTACAGGCCCAGAGTGCATACTTTCCTGGTATGAAACCACAGTCTTTCTCATGGAAAATTAAACATGGTGATCTGCAACTGATGGGCAAATACTTTTATAACAATATTCTTACTCTGGATTCTCTCTCTCTCCTTCTCTCTCCTTCTCTGCTAATTCTGAGATTCCCATCTTTAGGCCCTCACAGAACATCTCTGCATCCTCAGTGAGTGCTTTTAAATCCATACATAGAAGATGTTCACCATATTAATAACACATCATCTGGATAACTCATCGTCCCACACCAAGTTGTTTCAAAGGATCTTATTCTGTAAAGTTCCTTTCTGAAGTCTTTTACTTTAATCTAGACCATGTTCAAGTATGTCCACTGAGGCATAAATCAAGTTTTCAGTCCCTGATTCTTTACAGTGGGGATGTAGATATTTTTTTTCTCCTCAAAACCTCTGGGAAGGAAATGAATAATGTTTCCATGTGCTCACTTTATATAAAAGTAAGAAATTACGGTTGTGCACCTTTAGTAGTTCACAGTGTAGTACAGAAGTAGTCTTGTTATGCTAGTCTCTCTCTCGATAGGGAGACTCATCTCAGAGTTTAAGTTTGATAAGCAATGTAATGATCTATTACATTTTCTTCAGGCTATGACTAGAAAATCCATTGAGGTCTAACATACTGTTTCCAAAGTAGCAGAAACATAGTAATCATTTAAAAAGAAGTCTGAAAGAATTTAGAAAACATTGTTCAAGAGGAAATAGTGATTTATTAGACAGATATCTAAATATAAATCCTTACTGAATGCACAATATAGTTTCTGTTTTATTTGCTTTCTAAGTTTGTGGTGGAAAGAAAGCTTATGTTTGAATGATAGTTACATTTCTAATGTCAGTATAAAGCAAAGATCCTCAAGAATATTTTACTAAACTTATCACTCAAACATGTCCTCCTGCTATATTTTGAAAATCCAGGACAATTAACACTTTTGCAAATAAAAGATTAAAAAGTAAGAAGGGTGAGAAAATGATCAATTATGGATCAATTATAAGTTACCATAAAAAACTTTAGCTAGCTGCAAGATTTGCTAGGGATTTAAAATGATATTCAGTGTAATGAGTTTGAGGGTGACTTTTAAAATTAAATAATTATAAAATTATTTTTTTTAAACAAATAGAATCCTTCAGTAATTTTTCTTTCTAATTATAAGTTTCTAAATGTCCTTCTAACTAACAGCTGTGGAAGAATGAGGGAGCTTAAGCCATATTGATCCACATGTCACTGCTAATTACATTAAATTCAAAGGAAGACAGAAGGACAGATCATCTTTCGGAAAAGCATGCAGATAGACCACAGGAGATGTAACTTCTGAATTTTTCTTAAGGCATGAAAAAGCTTGGATTTGAGCCTTTTTAACTTCAGCACTTATCATATTCTTGTGATCAGAATGTACAAAAAAAGGATGATGATAAAATCCTTAGTAATACATTCATTAATCCAGAGGTTATCCCTTCCCTTTACAATCCCCTCAAGCACTGCTTCTGTCTGAATTTTAAACATGATGATCTTGGAGCCTGACCTAAGTCACACATTGAAATTCAGTATATCCTGAATAATTCATAGTATTGATGTGCATTGGTGTTTAAAATAAAATAGATAATGCTTAGGGTCATGAACCTCCTCTTCATAAATACATTGGGATTGCATAAATGTTACTTGAGGACTCTGATACCCAGACAGAGGAGCAGTCAATTCTGATTCAGGGATGCTCAGACTTTTATCCTGAGTCAAAACTCCATTGACTCATTGCCTTGGGACTTTGGATGTGCTTGATCGTTTACCTTGTAAGCTTGCACGGCAGGTTCAGTGGCATTTATTAATTATTCTGATTGCCTGAAATAACTGCAGAAAAATAATGAGGAACCCTTTGAAGTGTTAAGGAAATTGTTATTTTGTCTGCACATGAAGTATCATAGGAATGATAATAAATATTCAAAAAAACAAAACAAAACAAAACCGGAATTTTTCCAATACAAGAAATCCAATGGAAACTGCACCACTAGCATCATGTTGATGTTTGCCAGCTAGAGTTCTTCTTCTTGTTGTGTAGTACACATATCTTTTTAGCAGTTAATGAAATTATGTCTTTACCAGACAAATCCATCACTCTCAGTAAAGCCACATCAAATAAAAAGTAAGATGGAGTATATATGTAAAATAATATTTTTTAAAGGTTTTTTTTTTTTTTAGATCACATGTAGTGAAAGAGCATGTGTTTCTTTAAGGTTGTATGTTTAAAGACGTCATCAAAATGGGATACTGAGATGAAGGGGGAGGGAATCCTGATAACAGAGACAATGCTAAAAAAACTTGGTCAGTTAGGTCAGTGTGTAAGATCATGTGGAGTGTGAGCACAATGTCAGTGAGACCTGTCTGATTGAGGACCTTGTGAAACTGGCATGACATGGAAAAGCAGGAGGTAAAGAACAAGCCATATAGAGACACAGACCTGACAAACAACAATGGAGCTCATTAAACCCTGCCAGATACACGAATTGATGGGCTATCAAGAAAATGGAGGAATCATTTCAGAGAGGACCATCATGGATTTTGCAATCCACTAGGGTGCCAACCAGGGGTTACAGGATGCTGATTGGGTTGGAGTATGCAAAGAAATGCAGGAATGTGCAGCAGAAAGGAGGAGCTGAGAGGACCAAAGAGGGGGCATAGAGAGACTGGAACATGAAAAGGGACATTGTGTGTTAAATGGGGCTGGTCAGTATGCTTCTCTGCTCACTGTGAGCCTGGTCTGTCTTTTTGTATCTTATAAATTTCTTAACTATCTTCTTGCATAATGACACTGTAGCCAGTGTGTGCCTGCGCATGTGAGCTGCAAGGACTCAGTGCCAGCTGCTGGCGAGGAGTGTGGGAGTGAAACTTGCTGCCAGCTACTGGAGTCAGGCTTGGGTTACAGGCACCCCAGCCTATGAGGTCTCAGTCAGCTACTGGTGATAATGGGGACCTTTATCTTCCAGCCACTGGGGCAGGAACAGAGAGACAGGGGCAGAGGCAGAGGCAGAGACACAGGCACATATCGCAGTGACCTTAGACGGTCACTGTGGTGAGAGAAGGACGAGAATCTTGTTCCTTGATCAGAAGGCTTGATTTATTGATATAAGATATATAATACATTATAACTATACTAAAAAGAATAAAGAGAGAGCTTGCAGAGGCTGCTAAGCTAAGAATAGAATAGAAAGAATGAATAACAAAGTTCTGTGTTCAAGAAATCTCCCCTGAGCTGCTCCTGTGATTGGCCCTTAATGGTACACATGGAAAGAGGGCCAATCACAGGAACCCCTGCCACATTTTCACAGCAGCCGATAACAATTTGTTTACATTCTTCTTCTGGGGCCCTTTGCTTCCCAGAAGAGGGACAAATCTCAAAGAAAGGATTTCTATGAAGAAATGTCTGCGACAGACACAGACAAGAGACAGAGACAGACAGAGGCCGAGACAGAGACAAGAGACAGGCAGAGACAGAGACAGAGAGACAGAGAGAGACAGACTTCCAAAAATGAACTACTGGTGGAATTGGGGGGAATGAGGCACATTCTGGGAATCAGCACCAGAGGCTGGAGAAGTACTGTGGGTTCTGTGTGCCCGGTTCCAGGTGAGGGATGTCTGTATCCTCCCAAACCAGTTACTCATGGGCTTTGCCTTTGACTTCCCTGTCAAACTTCAAACTGGAGAAGCCATCAAATTGAGGGGGCACCAGGGCTGGCATTCAGGCAGGGCTGCTGGGGCAGGTGGAAGGAAGACCTGTGCCAGTACTGCCAGTACTGAGAAAATTGGTGAGTGAATGTATGATTGTAAATCTGGAGAGACTGTATGTACTGCACTAGTGACCTCCTGCCTCTACCAACACAAAAGAGCACAGGACAAGCTGTCTGAGCTTGTAGGTGGCTGCTGCTGAGGCCAGCACCTTGTCTTTGGCTGTGTCTGCGACCTGCAATGTCAGTGTTGTCTGTGTAGGTCTGCATGGTTTTGTTTTATGTTGGAGTTTTTTGTTTGTTTCATTTTTTGTGTTTTGTTCTTGTTTTCTTTTTCTTGAGGGAAGATGTGGGTGGACATTTGCTTTGGTTTTTTTTTGGTTTTTTTTTTTCAGTATGGCTTTATTTCTGTATATATAACCCAAAATCTGTGATTAGATACTGTATATAAATGTATAAAAACAGTTATTTTTGTTTATTTGCTCCTGTGTACTATATATTGCTTAATGTCAATTGAAGAAGTGAAACAATAGTTGTGTTGCAAATGTTATCATCTTCTCTTTTCTGAAATGAATTGTGGAGTAGTAAGAAAAGAACTAACCCAAACTTGGTCCAATACCTGCAATGTAGGTAACCATCATCAAAAAGTGGTTTGGATACAAACACTAAGGTAGTTTATAGCTCAGCTTCACAAATGATAGATCATGCTGCTTTCCTGCAAAAGCCAATAAACATATTTCCCTTTTCAAATGTTTTTTTTTTTTTGATGTAGGTTATCTTCACCTACTCCTTTAAATAAGACTGAGGACTTAAGAGCTGTCAAAAATTAATGCGTACTGCCATAACCATTTCGTACAAACTTGTCATTATAATTTACATTGTTTAATGATTAACAGTTCTCATATGACAAAATACTTTTTAATTTTACCAGGAAACAAGGAACCGTATCTGTTTAGACTAATAGCATGTCAACTCTGATATTTTCTCCTGACACCTATTGTGATGGAGAAGCACATGCGGATCATGTCTTCAAGTATAAAAAGTTATTGTTCTTTTACCTTTCTTTACTTTTGTTTTTCATTGTTTGAGAAGGTGGAGAAGTTTTTATAGGTGAGTCTGAAGCAGTGTTCAGGAAGGTAAAATTCGACGGATGATTAATCACTCCTTTTTACCCCATAAATGACAATCTCATTTAATTAATTTTTATAAGAAGGCAAGATGGAAAATTTGTGCAAATAAAAGAAAGCAATGAAATTATTGCATTCAATC